CAAGTGCTGGGATTAAAGGCGTGCGCCACCACCGCCCGGCTCAATCTTTATTTTTAAGAGAATCCTTAGTCCATGGCTGGGAGACTCTAAGTGGAAAGGGCAGAAATTCTCGGTAAAATAAATATGCAGTTTCTGTTCTTTCAGATTATTTATGTTGAACTCATCTCTTTGAAACTAATAAATTACAAGTCTTCCATATTTGTAGGCCTTTAATACAACCCCAATGTGTTTTCCAAAAATAGTGTTTAAGCCAACTTCCCCAGGAAACAGAATATTTGAAAACATAAAAGTAGTAGCAAATAAGGCCGGTGAGTAGCAACGGCATCATGACAAGGAGCTGTGCATAAAGGAGGTGTGCTGCTGCTTGCAGGACACTGACGGTGGTCAACAACAGCTGGCACTACCAGGTACGGATCTGGAAGCTCAGAGGGCAACCTTTACCTTCAACGTGCAACTCTAGCTCCCTACTCCCATGAAGACCCATAATTCAAACTTCTTTTTCCTAATTTATGCTATTAAATTATGAGAATATGTTTTTCTTCTTCTTTTTATTCTTTTGATATTGTGTTTTGTTTTTTTGAGACAGATTTTTCTGATTACCCTTGGCTATCTGAGAACTCACTCTGTAGACCAGACTGGCCTTGAACTCATAGAGATCCACCTGCCTTTTCTGGGATTAAATAAAGGTATGCACCACATTTTTTTTCTTTTAAAGTTTTTTTTGAAGTCACTTTGTCAAGTCTAAATTGGCCCTGAACTTGAAATCCTCCTACCTCTACTGAGTACTGGGATCCTGAGTACTGGGATCACAGATATATGTTACCATGCCTGTCAGAAGGCACCTATCTCTTAATGAGTAACGATGCTAACTGCCATCTTGAAAAATGTTTTTAAATGAATTGAATAATCACAATACTGGCTACAGGAAAAACTAAAATTTTACTATAATGAGTCAGGCTATGATCATTCTCCTCTTGTGAGCAATCAGCGTGGCTACAGTGGAATAACCAGACATCCTACGTCTCCTGACATCAGCCACATCAGGTTCAAAATTTCATCTATGACACAGAAGATCAAAAGGGCTGGACTGGAGTCTCCTCAACTTATTTTTAATAAGAATGTATCTTTCCAAAAAGATGCATGAACTTACCCCTGGCATATACTCCATAAAGATGGAGAGTGTTTTCTCCTGAGGATCCCTCAAGCAGCCGTAATACTGAACAATTCGCTCGTGTAGCAAGTTTTTCAACAACTGAATTTCACACTCAAGTGCATTTACTTCCTGAAAGACAGAACTCCAGTTAAGTCTTCTTTTAAAAGTACGTTGTTATTATATTTGTCTCTCTGTCTATTTGCATGTCCATTTGTACATGCACCAGGAAAGACAAGTGGAGGTCATAGGACAACTTGCAGGAGTTAGTTCTCTCCTTCCACCATGTGGGTCCCCAAGAGGTGGATTCTGGGTATTGACCTAAGGCAGACAGGCTTGGTGACAAGCCCTTTTTACTTGTTAAGCAGTTTCACTGGCCCTACATTAAGTCTTTATAGCATCAAAGGAAACACAAAATTCTCTTAGTTCATGGACTGTCATGGAAATGTTCACTCTACATAGAATATTTTAGTCTCTACTTTTTAATGTATGTGACCTTGCCTAAATTTGTCTGGACCGCATGTGTGCAATGCCCTCAGAGGTCAGAAGAGGGGTTCGACCACCCCTGGAACTAGAGTGACAGACAGGTGTAAGCCTCAATGTGGGTGTTGCAAACTGAGCCTGGATTGTCCGACCGAGCAACAGGTGCTCTCAATCACTGAGTCATCTCTCCAGACCCCCAATATCTTTTATTTAACAGCCCCTGGTTGTTTGCTAAGGAAACACCAAGTCCAACTAGGAACACAAATGAAGCACTAAAACAGCTGATCATTTTACTACAACCCACAAATCCCACCACATTGTTATATTACATTTTAAAGCTTTTTATGTACATTTAGTCTGTCTCTGGGTGTTGGGGGGTGGGGTGGGGGTCAGAGAACAACTTGTGGGAGCTGGGTCTCTACTATCATGTGGGTTCTGGGGACCAAATCAGGTCTCTAGTCTTGGAGTAACTCACTAGTCCCATTTTTGCTTTTGGCTTTTTCCCCTCCAAGAAAAACCGCTTTTTACGATGGCCAAGTAAGCAATCGGAGCAGTGACTTTTACCTTGCTGGTCTCCGGGCTGTCGGGGTTAAACTGAACTTGTTTAACAGCCAGTTCTCTTCCGGTATCAACATCATAACAGAGGTAGACCCTACCAAAAGCTCCTTGGCCAAGCAGTTTGCCCAATCTCCAGTTCGTTGGAGCTCGAGGTGCTGAAAAAGAGTATTTTCTTAATATGGAGTAGTCAGGTGCTAATCAGTGACTTTCTAACTGAACATTCAGATTCAAGGGAAAATTATGACCATCCAAATTTATAATGGTCTCTATCGTTCTCCCTATCAAGAATTCTAACTAAAAGTTTATATCTCATGACATATTTTTCCCAGTAAGATTTTCTTTTACCAACTACAAAAGTGACAGCCATCTTTCACTTGATCTAAGATATCACCAACTATAAGATACCTTATTTTCCAATTTTTACTGCAGCAAATTACAAATATCTGTAAATAGTTTTTTCAGTCCATCTATAATACAGAAATCTGGAAAGAGTATCAATGCCCATCTCTATAAGAGAAATCAGGCAATCAATAAAATTACAGCTTTATGTATATGGTATTTTCCCTGTGTGTGTATGCGCACCACATGCATACAGTGCTGGAAGCCAGAAAAGGGTAAGGGATATCCTGGAATTGGAGTTACAGATGATTGTGAACCGTCTCCTGATGCTGAGAATCAAACCTACATCCTCTGGAACAGCAGCCACTGCACTTAACCACTGAGCCATCTCTCCAGCCCTATAACTTTTTTTTAAAAAATCATTGTGGGGTTTTTTTTTGTTTTGTTTTGTTTGCTTGTTTTGAGACAGGGTCTCACTATGTAGACCTGACTGCCCTGTAACTTGTCATGTAGCTCAGGTTGGCCTTGAACTTCTGGTGCTTCCGCTCCCAAGTATTGGAATTACAGATGTGTACCACCCTGCCTGGAAGAAATTATAACCTTTACTGAACATTTTGGAAAAAAGATTACAGGGCACCCAACTAACCTAAAATCTAAGGAAAAGGAGGCACTCCAAGGAAAGAAAAGAAATGGTGAAGAACACAGAATAATGTGGTGATATTTTGTTTGCACTCTAACAAATAAAATTTGCCTGAAGATTACAGAGGACATGTATACACTGAATCACAGGAAAAGCAAGACATACACGGGTCCAACTTGCCCAACTTTTCTGTGTACCTCCTCCCTCCCTGTATTCAGAGGAGCCAGAGATCATGGCCTTGGTGGTCAAGGTTAGAGAACAGAATGGTCCTGTGATAGAAAAGTAAGAGTCACTGCTGGACATGATGACACATACCTTTAACCCTATCACTAAGAGGTAGAGTCAGGTAGACTTCCCTTGGGAGTTCCCAGCTACCACGGCCACAGAGACCCTGTCGGGGGTGGGGGTTAGAGCTCACAAGAGAAAGCAATCAACATAACCAGACTCAAGAGAACTCATTCAGGAAATTTAATTTTTGAATAGGCTGAGGATGTAGCTCAGTGGTAGAGTGCACAAAGCATTGTTTTTTTGGTTTCTGTTTTTTGTTTTTCGAGACAGGGTTTCTCTGTGTAGCCCTGGCTGTCCTGGAACTCAGTCTGTAGACCAGGCTGGTCTCAAACTCAGATTTCTCCTGCTTCTGCCTCCCAAGTGCTGGGATTAAAAGTGTGCACTAACACTACACAACTTTCAATGGGTTTAATTTCCACAACTACATACAAAAGCAATTTAAAATTAAAATAAAAACACAAAACACATGGTAGCTGAAGAGATGGTTCTGCAAGTAAGAGTAGAGAGTGCTTCTGCTCTTGCAGGACACACACTGATGGCTCACGACCACCTGTGACTCCAGCTCCAAGGAATCTGATGCTCTCTTCCAGTTTCCATCATCACTGCACTAATGTATGTGTGCACGCGTGCATGCTCTCTCTCTCTCTCTCTCTCTCTCTCTCTCTCTCTCTCTCTCTCTCTCTCTCACACACACACACACACACACACACACACACCTAAAAATAAATCTTTTTTAAAAATCTATTAACATATTAAAGGTCTGGATGGAGAAGTTAGGCAACATGCAAGAACAGATGTAGAGTCAAATGAAAATGTTTCTTCAAAAAAAGGGAAATGTTTCTTCAATAAGATCATAAACAGATAAGCCCTTAAATCTCAGACATGGGAAGTGGAAACAGGAGGATCAAGAGTTCAAGGTCATCTTCTGATACACAGGGAATCTGGGGCCAGTCTGGAATGCATCTCAACATCCTGCATCACAGAACAAAAGAGAAATGCTCAAAGGAGAGCAAGGGTGAGAATGAAGATGGGGCGAGGTGCAGAGCAGCAGCAGGAGTGCAGGACCAGGGGAGGGGTGAAGGCAAATGAAAACGGAATTTCTCCTGGAAATTTGTAGGCCAAAAGACAAGGGGTGAGCTAAAGGCACTGGTTCTTTTTTTTTTTTTTTTTTTTCTTTTTAAAGGAAATCTATATGCAGAAAAAATATCTTTCAAAAAATGAAGGGGGGGCTGCCGGGTGGTGGTGGCACACACCTTTAATCCCAGCACTCTGGGAGGCAGAGTCAGGCGGATCTCTGTGAGTTCAAGGCCAGCCTGGGCTACCAAGTGAGTTCCAGGAAAGGCGCAAAGCTTCACAGAGAAACCTTGTCTCGGAAAAACCAAAAAAAAAAAAAAAAAAAAAAATGAAGGGGGGGGAAAGCCTTTTCAAGCAAATAAATGTTAATTGAATGTATTATCAACAGACTTTTATTTAAAAAGGGGTTAAATTCAATTCTTTAGGTAAGAAGAATTTTATACTTGACTGAATCTTGACTCTACATAAAGATCTACAGAAACAGATAAACGAGGTATGTACAAAAGACCAATCCAAGACTTTCCTTTCCTTCCTTCCTTCTTTTTTTTTTTTTTTGAAATTTATTTTATGTGAATGGGTGTTTTGCCTGCAAGTATATGTCCACCAGATGCTTGTCTAGTGTTCTCAGAGACCAGAAGTGGGGCACTTGATCCTCTGAGACTGGAGTTACTGACAGTTGTGAGCTACCATGTACTGGGAATTGAAGCCAGGTCCTCTGGAAAAATAGCCAGTGTCTTAAATGCTGAGCCAACTCTCCAGACCCGTCTCCCCTTATTTTCAATCTTTAAAAACAGCTGCCCAATTAACTATGCAGCTCACACATGATTGAGCCGGTATGACAATGAGTATTCAGAGACGGGTAATGCCTGGGGGCACTCACCAACCTAAGACAGAGCACCTGTGTGGCCTGGGCAGGCGTCTCCACGACGGGTAAGGTGACCTGCTGACGTCCCACGCATACCAAGTCAGAAGCTCATTTTTTAATAAAAGGGGGACCTGTAGGGCCCTGGCCCCCATTTTGGGTAACTATTGCCTTGCTTGCAGACCATGATATCCTCCCTATGCTAATTATTTGCCAGGTTTCACCCTCCTGAATGCTTAAGGGAAGCTCCTTGTCTGTGTATCCTGAATAATGGGCATTAACAGCGTAGATGCAAGATTATAAAACATCAGTAGCGAACTTCTGCCCTCCGGGGTCCTTCCATTGTGTTGTAAGCCTGTATTTAAGACCTCCTCCCCCCTTCAAGAAGTGACATTCGACATTTAAAATTAAATATATATAATTGAATGAATACTGTGAATGTAATCTATGAATACCACAAATGTGATTAATATCATGAGTGTAATTAAAAAAACAGCTGCCAGGGCAGTGTGACAGCAATGCAGTGTGGGGTACAGGTGTGAAGGGAAAGAGTGACAACACTAGAAAAAGGAGGGTCAGATCATGCAAGTTTTGCTGCAACATCTGTCTTTGAGCTGGAGCAGGCAAAGATGTTGTGGACATAATAAAGTTCAAATACTTTGCAATTTGATCTCCTTTACCACTGTAGTCCTAGTTCTACTACTTCAATAAGGTATCCCCATGTCAGTAAAATGTCTTTTCGAGTGTTTCCAGAAAGGATGAGCTGAAGAGGGAAGGCCCAACCTGAATGGAGGTGTCATTATCCCCTGGGCTGGAAACCCCAGCCCAAGAGAAAAGAACACAATGAACTCAGGACCGCCACTCTTCCTGTGTCCCGACTGCAGACTCAACATGACCAGCCCTCAGTGCTCCCACCACTGTGCCTTCCCCTCCATGATGGACTTCATTCCCTCAACTCCTAGGTCAAAACAAACTCTAAGTTGTTTTCCTCAGGTATTTGTCAAGCAACAAGAAAACAAACTTTGTTACAGGTGTAACAACCACCAGCCCACTCCATACATGCACATGAATATGTGCACGCAAGCGCGCACACACATGCTGATATACTCAAAGATAAAGAAAAGGGCCAGAGAGATGGCTACTCAGTGCTGATGGAACCACTTTGGGAAGTTCTGAAAACTTCAGGAGATGGAGCCTTGCTAAAGGAAGTGTATCTCTAGGGAGGGGGTGCCTCTGAAGGTTATACCTCATCTCCCTAAGCCTAACCTTAACCCTAACCCAGATGGGAACTGAGTTCCACCTCTCCAGTCTGGTTTCCCATTTAGTATGAGGTATGTATGTACCTTCTACCAACGTGTCCATCACCATGGTATTCTGCCTCATCACAGAGCCAGAATCAATGGAGCCAAGGACAACAAACTAAAATCTTGAGCCAAAATAAATCCTTCCTCCTTTAAGTTGTTTGGGTAAGGTATTTCATCAGTGATGAAAGTCTGACACATACAATTAGTAAATTTCTACACATTAGGATCTAACAAATGCTATACTGTAATTTTTTCTCTATAAACCAATCTCCTCACTAGGCTGTTTCTTAGAAGTTGCTTAGTAAATCTCAGTGCTTAAAAAATCTCAGTGTTTAACATGGACAAGTAGAACAGAATGTATAAGAATAATTAGTAACAATTTTCCTAATAAAAGTGAAGAACAATTAAAGTAATTAGCTGTGATACCAACTTATGCCTGAATGCTTAGCCCCCTTTAAGAACCCTATTATTACCACTTGTGAGGAGAGTTTTTCCCTGAGTTCTGATTTGCCATTTACTCCTGTTAACACCAAACTACTCCAATGTTCTGCTCTACTTCCTATTACTTACAGCGGCTGGGCGGGCTGATGTCTGTGACAGTCAGAGTAGGATTGTCTATGTCACTTCCCCTTCTTCTGATCCGGCTGTCTTCATAGTCTGGGGTAAAGATACTGCTTCCACTACTAGTGCTTAAGGAGTGATCAGTAGGACTGAAACTCACAGGAGACCGGAAGCTGGTGCCCTGGGTCCTTCTAGCTCTTGGGAAAGTCTTACGACCTACAAAGCGAAAAGAGAGTTCACTTATTCCTTCTATTAATGTACTACATGTTTGAGATATTTAAACATCCAGAGTGTAGATAGAGTAGGAACCGGCCTTGAAATGTAAGCTGAAAAAGCTGAAATAACAATGATTATGTGTGTGAGGAGTGGTAGTGAAAACAAATTCAAGTACTCTTGCTGTGGGATGGTCTGTATGTCAAATGCTCTGATTGGTCAATAAATAAAACACTGATTGGCCAGTGGCCAGGCAGGAAGTATAGGCGGGACTAACAGAGAGGAGAACTGAGAGAACAGGAAGGTGGAGAGAGTCACTGCCAGCCACCGCCATGACAAGCAGCATGTGAAGATGCTGCTGAGCCACGTGGCAAGGTATAGATTTGTGGAAATTGATTAATTTAAGCTATAAGAACAGTTAGCAAGAAGCCTGCCACGGCCATACAGTTTGTAAGCAATATAAGTCTCTGTGTTTACTTGGTTGGG